ACTCGCGTTACTTGTAATGCGTTACCCCCAACACTGGTAATGACATCTATCACTTCTCTGAGGGGTTGAATAAGCCCCGGAATAGTTGACAAGAGAAGTAAGCTAGCAGTTAATAAATTTCGCATTTAAAAAAACAACAACAATTGCGTTGTTTTAGAATTACCCAATTTAATTCATAAAATGCTTACAAATCATGATGTAAAATTCCTAAAATAAATACATGAATAAATCAATAAATATCAATCAATCAATAAATAACATTTTATTTCTATTGAAGCTTGTATGTCCTGTATTTAAATGTATGTAATTACACATCTTTAATGATAAAGTTGCTATTTAGTACATTTAGAATATATTAACTTTAAAAAAGTGCTTTACGTGTGCTTTAGTAGCCTGTCAACACAAACAAGGTGTACTTCTTTAAAGCACAACAACATTTTATTAAATTGTAATGATTTAAAATATACTTTGAAGTAAAACTTTAAATTTGACATTATAACAAAGTACACTTTGAAGACAAAATAATCAATCAAAAAAAGTATCAAATTCACTTTATTTTGACTCAACTCGATTGTTCTTTCAAATGCTTGGCACGAATTGGCGACAATGATTATTTATTATAGGCTAAATCCTACACATAAATACCAAATTAATAGGAAAACCCCAAATTGATAGGAAAAAGTGCAACATGGATACCATTTCCGAGGGTTTGAAACTTTTTATATATTTATTAGAAAAAGAAAGATGGACAAGCAAAATAAAAAATACGTAAATCAATAGTATAAAGATAAAATAGCATAAACGGGCACAATATTCACGTTGTAATAATGTATCCTTGGTTGTGTTTAAGCATTTTTAAATCATCCTTTAGACATAAAAGTTACCTTAACTAACGAATCAGTGCAAAGTAATCAAGGTGTTTCTCTTTAGCTGTGTGTTAATTGCTTTTCACTGTAAATCAAAGGAACCAAAGCAAATCCAGAAGTGTGCAAAAAGACAGCCAGGGGCGTGCAGTTGCCGTTTTAAACTGTGCATGGGCATCTCTACCAAAAATAAAGAACATGTCCTCACCCAAATTTCAACTAAACAACGCCCTCCAACGGCGAGCAGGAGAGGATGACTTATTCGATGGTTTTAACTTTTCTTTCTTTCCTTTTTGTCTGTCTCTGTTTGTTTTGTAATTTGCTTTTAACCCAAAAATGTTTCGGTATACACCATAGTTTTAGTGTCATACACATATCACGGTACAACAACTGATCTATATAATTATATACAACACAATTTTCAG